TAGTGCCTATACACCTCAGATTGGGACAGAGACGTACCTTAAAGATAAGTTCTGGGAAGATATGGAGGGGTTGGTTCAAAGCATACCACTTGAAGAAAAAAATTTTATCGGTGGGGACCTTAATGGACATGTCGGTAAGGAAGCAGGACAATTTAGCGGGGCCCATGGTGGTTTTGGTTTTGGGGAGCTTAATAGTGGAGGACAATCTATTTTCGACTTTTCTCTTGCATAAAATCTTAACATTGTCAACACTTGTTTTAAGAAGCAAAAGGAGCATTTAATCACATACAAAAGTGGTGTCTCAAAATCACAGATTGATTTCTTTTTGGTTAAGAATCTGGACAGAAGATTGTGTACTAATTGTAAAGTGATTCCAGGAGATGGGGTGATTGCCCAACATAGAGTACTTATTCTTGATGTACATTTTAAGAGTACTAGGAAAAAGTACCATCAAGTGGTAAAACCCAAGGTTAAGTGGTGGCAGTTAAAGGGTGAGAAGCGAGAGCTATTCAAAAGGACCCTTTTAGAGGAAGGGATTTGGGAGTCACAGGGAAATGCAAACATGATGTGGGAAGAGATAGCTACAAGGGTTCGTTGGGTAGGTAAAGCAATTTTGGGAGAATCCAAAGGTCCTGGTCAGAGAGATAAAGAGATTTGGTGGTGCGATAAGAGTGTGCAAGAGAAAGTCAAACAGAAAAGAGATTGTTTTAAGGCCATACACTCGTGCAATAATGTAGAAAACCGGGAAAAGTATCAGTTGGCTGAAAAAGAGACGAAGAGAGCAGTAAGCAAAGCACGTACTAAAACTTATGAAGGGTTTTATCAGGAGTTAGGAACAAAGACGGGATAAAGAAATATTTACAAGATTGCGAAGCAAAGGGAGAGGAAAAAGAGAGATCTGAACCAAGTAAAGTGTATAAAGGATGAAGATGGTAAAGTGTCAGTTACTGATGATGATATTAAGGACAGATGGGAGGCTTACTTTTACAAGTTGTTTAATGAGGGAAGCAATTATGCGACTCAGGACTTACAGGACTTACTAATTAACGAAGATGATCAGAATTTGGCTTTCTACCGCAGAATCCGCATCGGCGAGGTTAAGGCAGCTCTCAAGAAAATGGACAATGGAAAAGCCGTTGGGCCTGATGGTATCCCTATTGAAGTTTGGAAATGTTTGGGCGATGAGGGTGAGGTGTGGCTAACCAAACTTTTTAATGAAATTTTACCCTCTAAGAATATGCCGGATGATTGGAGGAGAAGTATTTTAGTTCCTCTTTACAAAAATAAAGGAGACATTCAAAACTGTTCAAATTACAGAGGGATAAAACTTATGAGTCATACAATGAAGTTGTGGGAAAAAGTGATGGAATATAGGTTGAGCCTAGAGACTTCTATTTCAGAAAACCAATTTGGATTTATGCCAGGGAGATCCACATCAGAAGCAATATATCTACTAAGAGGGTTAACTGAAAGATATAGAAGTAAAAAAAGGGATTTACATATGGTTTTTATTGGCTTAGAAAAGGCTTATGATCGTGTGCCAAGAGAAGTAATGTGGAAAGCTTTGAAAAAGAAAGGTGTACAGGTTGCTTATATCAAAGCCATACAAGATATGTATGAGGGGGTAACTACCAATGTAAGGACGCCTGGAGGTGAGACAAAGGACTTCCCTATTCAGATCGGCCTACATCAGGGATCCTCTTTGAGTCTGTACTTGTTCAACATTGTTCTGGATGTTTTAATTGAACCTATTCAAGAAAGAATCCCTAAGTCCATGCTTTTTGCGGATGATATAGTTCTCATGACGGAATCAAAAGAAGAGATTAACACTAGATTGGAGTTATGGAGAAGGACTTTGGAGTCAAAAGGTTTCCGCTTGAGCAGGAACAAAACAGAATATATGCATTGTGATTTTGGGGGGGAGGCAAGGCAATAGGGATTTGGAGGTGAAGATGGGGGAGCAAATCATTCCTCAAGTATCTAAGCTTAAATACCTAGGATCCATTATACAGGAAGATGGGAAAATTGATGGAGACGTTTCTCATAGAATACAAACTGGCTGGTTAAAGTGGAGAAAAGCTACCGGAGTTATTTGTGATAAGAAGGTACCTGAGAAACTTAAAGGAAAATTTTATCGGACTGCGGTAAGACCAGCTATCTTGTACGGTAGTGAATGTTGGGCAATAAAGAGAAAACAAGAGCACAAAGTCGGGGTAGCAGAAATGAGGATGTTGAGATAGATGTGTGGTCATACAAAAAAAGATAGGATCCGAAATGAAAATATCAGAGTAAGAGTAGGTGTGGCACCTATCCAAGAGAAAATAGTTGAAAATCACTTAAAATGGTTTGTACATGTGGAGAGAAGGCCATTGGAGGTTTCGGTGAGGAGGGTGGATCAGACAAGATGGAGTCTCATAAAAAGGAATAGAGGAAGACCAAGAAGAACGCTTAATGAGGTCATTGAATGAGACCTCCTAGTCAATAACATATCTAAGGACTGGGTTGTTGACAGAGCACGATGGCGTCGTGTGATTCATGTAGCCGACCCCACCTAGTGGGATAAGGCTTGTTGTTATTGTTGTTGTTCAACATGTCCTATTTAATCTTCTGGAAAAACTTGTTCATCAATATAGTACTCTACTACTTGACGCCTCAACGCCCCAGTGTTCTTCCCTTTGAATTTGAAGGCTGCAACCTTTGTCTCCTTTGTCGTCTATAGTGTGGTTCCATAAGCACGTAAAAGAATTTTGTTTTTGTCGTCGTCTATGTTTGTCAGACATAAGAACATGACACTTCATAGTTCTTTTATTAAAAAGTCCTGGTCGTTGTTCTCAAACTTCTTTTTAATGCCCACGATCACTGACACTTGTCTTGAGAATTTCTCATTTGAAGCAAAACCCTTTTAATTTGACTTCTGCTTACTCGCCTGTATTTTACTGTAGAGGCTGAAGATTGAGAAAAGAGAAATTCCTGAGCAAAGTATCTAACTTCATGAGTTGTACATGCCTATACATACATACATGTGTGTGTGTGTGATAAATTGTATCGTACATTCAAAAAAAATTACATGGTGTCACTATATGAGAACAAACCTCTTTCATCCTCCTCCGCCTCCAAGCACCAAGGTGGAGGATGATCAAAGATGTTATGACAAATATGTATTGGGCGTATTTTGTAAGAGCACGTCTCTGCACAGCTAAGAACTCCTATACGTAGAACTGAAAGCAACAATTTCTACAATAAGCGTCCTGGCTTCCTCCATGATTTGTGCATTTTGAACCAACTTAGAAAAGCCCAAAGGATAAATTATTCAACATTGGCGATTTCAAGTTACCTTAGTCACCCATAAAATCTTGAGAATGGAAATGAATTGTTCCGGAGAAGTTATTCAGTCAGTCACTCTAACCTAGCTTGTCTGCATTGGCATGGCTTCAAATTTTGGCTACATTTAGGTGTTATGGGATTCATGATTTCAAGCTGTCTCTGAACTCTAAGGTCACGTACTTGTTAGGCAGTGCAACCCTTTGTCTTTCTCATTTCATGGAAAAGCTTCATATATAATTTGTCAAAGGTAATCAATCACTGTATTTTCCAGCTCTTCAATTTCTAGAACTGATTTTTCGTTCTCAGTACTCAAAGACTGTCAGTTTACAGCATCAGCACCTGTAAAATTACAGAATGTCAAGACCAACTATAAAATCAGGGGCTCTCTGAGTTGTGGTTATTTGGTGATATTTTTTTTTTTCTGCTGGTGTACCATTCATGATGTGATTGTAAGAATGAAGAAAGCTTATCATGTTGCCCCACTATAAAAATATATATTTGCTGTATTTGGTGTATTTTTCACCTTTTTACTAAGAGAAGATTCACAGTTATGTATACATCTCAAAATTGGAATTACCTGAATGGCTGCCAAGGCAATTCTATATAACTTGACATCTGTACTATCATCCTAAAGGGCAGCTACGTAAAACTATGTTAAAAAGTGATTGAAAAAAAAATTACGCATGATGGTCAAATGAATAGATAAGGGGTCTAGACTTTTTTTTTTTTCTTTTTTTTTTTTTTGGTGGGGACTGAAGGGTAGCAAGAATTACCCTTGTAGCTTGCATTCTTGCAACTTATGCATTCGTAAAAGGATCCATGGCACCACTTGCTTGACAAGTTTAAGCCAGAGACTCAACAACACCCAGCCCAATCGGAGAATATTGACATTCAATGACCCAGCTAGTCACCCATTTGATAACCAATAAATTAGGAAGTTATGACACCTAAAATTACACTGAAACTGAAGAAGCAAAGATCAAGGAATTGCCAAGAAAAAGAAAAATGTCATACAATAACTATTTGTTACTTCAGTGGCATAATGTGGTAGAAAAACGATGAGTCAATTTTAGCTAAGTTTACATCTCTAAAAGCCAGAAAATTTTGCAACCACATAATATTTGAAACTAACAACAGCTGAACAGCAAGAAAACCATAACTTCCACTAAGACATGAATGGCTCGACATCAACAAGATAACGCCCAAGTTATAAGCTTTTGCCTTTTTTTTTTTTTTTAATCCTTTTCCCCTTTACTAGCACTTCTAAAAAGTTCATGAAGAAGTCCGTATAAAGAGCATCATGAAAGCAATTTGTGTAATTCACAACCTTATTCTCCATGATATATGTATGTATGTAACAGCCACACTTAATTGGAATGGAATTTTTACGACTTTCCAAACAAAACTACCTTTATAATGCTTTGGTCAAAAGGTGACCATAGAGCTTCCAAATTCTTGAATACTCGGCGAGTGCGTTACGTACCTCATCAATGAAGTTCCTCTTGGGTCTCAGAATGATCAATTTTCACAGAGCGCTCATGGTTTCATAACAACAACTCTCCATTTTTGAGCAATCCTTAATAGTTATTTCCTGGCAAGACGGCATCTCAAACTGGTAATTACTCGAGCAGAAACATTTTAAGGTTGGGAAGACGAAAAAGGGTCAGCCACTTCAGTTCTGGGAATACAATCTTCTTGGCCTTGTTGGACTCTCCTCCCCTCTCTGTTGTGACTATCTCCTCTATCATCTCACATTCATAAACCGATAGCTCTTGCAGTTGCACAAGGGTCCTGGCGATGGAAGGAGGGAACACTCTTCTTAAACCATCACAACACCCGATGTTTAGCTTTCTAAGATTATGAAAACCTAAGACTACTTCACCATGGTTTTTCCATATGTGCCTTAGTTTGGGTAGAGAGCACAAATGCATTTCTTGCAGATTATATTCATACGATGTCATAGCATTAGCATGCTCTTTATCTTCAGTTGCTTCAACTCCTTCTGATTCAAATATCTCCACCAGTGAACAACATTCTCGGACCTTGAGCTGTTTCAAATGTTGCAGTCTATGTAGTATGTTGGACGGAACACAGTTCAACAGCTTCTCGCAACCTTCAACAACCAGTTCTGCTACTCTTGTTATGTAGCCTAGTAGGATTTCATCTTGCTCAATCCAATTGATTGTATTTGATCTTTGAAATGCTGCCTGAAATGGAAAGATGTTGTCATGTTGATGAGAAAACCTAGGATTCTTCAATTTAAAGAAGCATTCTCTAATGTTTTTCCTTACTCATGGATTGCTAAGGTTACTTTTTCCCTGTAAAAGTTTATGAACAGAATAGTTGTATCTTGATTATAAAAATAGTGTAAATTGTACACGTTTCCCGTGAGTCTTATTAAAACTAGTATTATTCCCTTTGCAAATGCACATGGAGTAAAAAGCATCACATTTTATTGAACGATAAAACAAAAATAATCGTTATACTTCATAAAGCAGAATATGCTGCATTGTATAGTTACTTTTTCCCCGCAGAAGTTTATAAGCAGGATAGTTATATGTTGTTTATAAAAATAGTGTGAATTATACTCCACTATTGTCAAAACTAATGCAAACCCCACATAAATTTTACTAGAAATAGATATATTCATATATTTTTCCCTCGGAATAAAGAGCAATTTATATGAACTTTCCCTAAATTTTGTTGAAATCACACAATTTCATTCATTTTCAAAGTATATACAGATAAATATTTAAAAAAATTAAAAAGAATTGAGGTCTGTATAATTTCTATACAATTCAAAGGCTTGTATGATTTTTTTAAAACTTTCTGGAGGGGTTTGTATCTGGTTTCAAAAGAGAATAAATATCCGGTAATTTTATCAAAATTCAAGGATGACTCATGAAATAAAGTGGATATTTTTAAAATAGGTCTCCAAGAAATTGCAACAAAATTTAGGAGATGTCCATGCAAATCAAGTATCAAAGAGAAATAAGAAATTCCATGGAAGCTGGAACTTGGAATTTGGAATTAAAGAGTTGGAGAAATCATACACATGCTTACCTTCAAATCTCCTGCACGAGATTGTGATATTAAGGTCTCCCATGATGTCTACATACTCATAGGATCCTTTGTATATATTAGAAAGCTTTGGTATGTTTACATTTCCATAGGAAAAGGTCGTCATCTTTGGGCATTTCTCAATTATCATTTCTTCGCAGAAGGGAAGTTCAAAGTCTACACTTTCAGAGCAAAAACATTTGAGATTAAGAAGGTGACGAAGCTCCAGCTTGTTCAGCAACGGAAACAATATCTCACCTTTATTTGCTCCTCCAGATTCTTCAGCTTCCTTCATTACTATCTCCTCCATCATTTGACAACCATATACACGAAGGTGTTGTAGTTGGACAAGACTTTTGGCCATAGAAGGTGACAGTATACCCTTCAAATTGCCACAGTATTCAACCTTCAATATTCTCAGCTTCTGGAAGTCCAAAATATCTTCATGATTTTTCCATATGTGAATCAACTTAGGTAGAAAATGCAAGTTCATGACTTCTAGCTCATAGGTTATCATGCGATGCCTCTTCTTTTTGCCTACTCCTTCTGATTCAAACACTTCAATCAATGAACCACAGTCTTTTACTGTGAGGTTCTTCAGATTCTGAAACAAGTGTATCACTTTGGATGGGACTAGAGTCAGTAAATTTTGAAAGCTTTCAACAGTCATCTCTGTTTCTTTCATAAAGTAGCTTAGCATGCCTTGTTCCTGCTTGAGCCACCCAAGTGTCTCTGATGTTTGAAAAGCTAACTGCAAAACCCACATCCACATGTGTCAACAAAAATGATTTTTTATTTATTTATCTCAATAAAAATGATAATTGAAGAAAATTGAAGATTTCTGGAAGAAATTCTTGTGGGGACATGAGCTATTATGAATGTACCAATTCAAGAATAAAATTTAAGCAATTAAAGCAATTGAATCTTGTAATGTTATACTTAAGGATGTATAGCTTTCTAGTGCTTAAGTTATCGCTTTTGGCTTGAACAAATCTCTGAGTAGCCATAGCCCCATAAGAATTGTTCTCCTGTTGCTTCCTTTAGAATTTTAATTAGATGGTGGAAAAAAGTATAAAAAAATACAAATTTCATAGATGAGAAGGGAGGCAAAGAACTAGGCTTACAATTCCTTTGGAAAGTTGAGCAGTGGTGTTCAGATCTCCCATCCATATGACTCTGGTAAGGTGTCCAACTTTCATGGTAATGCCTTTTAGCTTTGGAGTGTTTGGAAATCCATTTGAGAATACCTCCATCCTATGGCAATTTCGAAAACACACTTCCTGTAGTAATGGGAAATCCAAGTCATAGGAACCATGGCAGAAGGCTTCAAGTTTGGACAGGCGTTCAAATTTCAGACGCTGCAATCTAGGGAACACAATCCTGAAAACATTTGCATGAATTTCTCCTTTTGATACTATTTCCTTTATGTTCTCACAAGCACATATCTCTAGCTCTTGCAGCTGCACAAGACTTGCTGATGATGATGTAGAGAACAAACAGCTAATTTTTTTGCATTCCTTTATCCCTAGGTATGTTAGATGTGAAAACCAAAAGCAGTCTATAGAAGAAGCATTCCTTATAATTCTCTGTTCATCATAAGCAACCTACAAAACGAAGATTTTGTTGTAATATTTCATCTTTCATTCAACTACGACAAAACAGAAATTAACTATCATATTTACTTTACGTTAAAATAACTTTTGAATTATTTGTTGACTGTAATAGTTAGCAATCTAAACATTCCCGCTATCACGGCAAATCACTGCAAAATACTAGTTTTTATTTTAATATAGTTCCGGATTTGATAAATAACTTCTATTTTATAAGATATATATTGGTGCAATCGAACAGTTAAATAGGAATATATTTTGAATTATATTTCATTAAATTTATAAATATTTTATACCTATTTAATTAATTTTATATATTTTCCTCTGTACACACTCAATTGCAGGATAAAAAGTAACTTTTGCTGCAAAATTTACTTATTTTCAATTTTTATTTTGCAGGCAAAATTATCAAATAAAGAAAAGAAGGAAAGAAGAAAATCAGAAAAGGAAAAGAAAGAATGGAAGAAACAAAAAACAAATCCACCGAAAAGTCCCTATTTAAAAATTTTATTTGCTAGATTAGGAGATTCTAAGAACAACAATCACGATAATTGCAAAGACTTAAAGAGTGAAGTTTAGTCATCCCATCTCGATCAAAAAGGGGGGAAAAAACAAGTTTTGTCATCCCATTAGATGAAATTCAATCCCCATCGATTGGATCAACGTTTATTTCTTTTCTTGTTTAGTTTCTACAAATTTTTATTTTCATTTAATTATTCTGTGTTATAACTAAATTTAATTGGATTGGTAAAACTCAACCTCCCTGTGGGTTCAACACCTAAATACTCCAGCTAATTTGCTGCTATGATCCCATATGCTTATGGGACCAATCACCTATATAAAATTTTTTATGAATAAATGTATATTTAACTACTCAAAATAAAAGTATACTGTGAAAGAAACAAGAAATAAATGAACTTTTAGCCATTTGCTACCTGATCTGCCAAATCTTGTTGATGACGGCCGTTGCCTCTGTATTTCCATTGCTCACGAATATGAGGTTGGTTGCAGAAGCTCACAAGATTTGGCAGATGGCTTAAAGTAAGAGACTGAACATGATCAAATGAAGTCAGGTCTGTTGTCCACTCTCCATTCTTGATGATAACTTCTAGCACGCTGCAGTTAATAACGGTGATTCTCTTCAGGGATGGAAACTCTAAGACAAATGAATCTTTGGAGAGGGATGTTGCATGATTTGGTAATGCATTCTCAAAAACTTCAAGAGAGTTTGCAGAAGAAGATACAACTGAGCCATCTTCGCTTTTGACCAGTTGCTCCACCATCCTACAGTTTGATACCTTCACATCTTGCAATTTCACAAGAAGCCTTGCTATGGAATGAGAGAACAGATATCTTAAATTCTGACAAGCTTCTAAACTTAGCAGCGTGAGGTTGTTGAAGCCGGTGATTTCCACTGGACTTGTCAACATGGGCACCAGTTTTACTATACAGTTTGCACTAGCATTGGGATGCTGGTTTTGTTCAAGCTGGAATATGACATCTAATGAATCCCAGCCTTTGACTTGAAGTTGTTCCAGATTTGGCATGTAGGACCTCATTTCTTCTCTAGCATATATTTCTTTGACATCAGAAGAGATATGGTCTCTGGTCAAACTAGCCTGAAGAGAATTCGGTAAGGGCAAATGAGAGACTAATGTAAGAAAGTGGGAAAAAAGAGTGTCTCTATAGATTTATATATTTCATGTCTCAGTTCCTCCTTTAATCAGTATTGTATAGAGAATTTGTCAGAGAGATAAATATGGCAAATAAACCGTCAGACTTCTTTAGAAGGTTATGAGATAACAATCTGGCTTTGAACGAATAGCTGCAGACTTAATTGATAAGTACAGGAACAGAAAGACATATCTACACATTTGATTAATTAGTTGATACCTGGTTGCTGATCTTTCCTGATCTTTGGAAATTTGATCTGGCCATTGAGTTGGAAATCTCAATATTTGATGGAGTGCATCCAAGGCAACAAGGGAGAAACCTGGGAGTGCTGAAACCAACATCCTGGAGAGTAGAATCTGAAAAGTTGTTGAGATTCTCTTGCTTTGCCAGGTTTTGAATTGGCATTGAAGATGTCTTCAGCTGGGGACACCCTTCGATGCATAAATATCTCAGAGATGGCCAGGTTAGCTCATAAAAATCTGGGCAAATTCTCACAAGGTTTGGGAGGTCCTTGAGTGTCAAAGAATCTAACTTGGCAAACAATAGAGTTTCCACTTTCTCTGGTTCCCCTCCATCATCATCTCCAACAATTTTCTCCATCAACTGGCAACTGTGTATCACCAGCTTCTGAAGCTCTGTGAGTGTTCTGGCAATGGTTGGAATAAAGATACTTCTTAAAGCATCACATTTCTTGACTTTGAGTGATCTCAAGTTTTGAAAGCCCTGAATATAACTTGGAACGTTTCTCCAAATATGTCTTAGCTTGCTAAGCCAAGATATCTCTATTTCTTTGAGTTGAGAAAATAACATAGGAACTGGCTGGCCTTTGATTTCTAACTGTTTCAAGTCAAAGACTGTATCTAACAAAGAGCACTCAAGTAATAAGATTTTCTCCAATTTTGGGAAAAGGGGCGTCCACATGGATTCAAATAGTGCACCACCAATCTGAACAGATCCATCATCTCCTAATGTCGAATGGGACCCTGGCAGATGTGGGCCGTCATCAAGCTTCTGTTTTTCTTGAACCTGTACAAATCCATCAGCTAGCCCATTTAATTCGCCAATTTTATGAGATGGATTGTGACTTCACTTAGAAACTTTGTGGAATAAGATGAAACAAATCAAATATTTAACTCTAGTTAAATGAGCCAATTCATAAGTTAGGTGGGTTAAGCCCATTTAAATCATTGTATTTTTTTAAGAATCACAAATATAAATAATATCGACCAAATTAATACACCATAATATTAAAAAGATAATCCTAAATTAAATAAAAAATCTCTTAAATTTCATGATTCTTGATTCCAGGTTCTTGATTTTTATGATAAAATTATTGCTACAAGACAAGATTTAGACCTTCTTGAAGTTTAAAACAACAAAATGATATGAGACATTTGATTTTTTTTAAAAAAAAAATATTATCATCCGCTATCTAGTGTTTTTTCTAGATTCTATTGCCAGGTATCCAAGCTACCTGTTAATCTGATTCAAAATTTGTGGCTTCCCCTCCTTACAAAAGTAAAGATCTTGTATCTATATATTAGTTGGTATTTGTAATCATTTAGTAAAGACAAAAGTAGTCAACACAACACATTTCTGCAAAGCCAATGATGAATTCGTTTGATGCACCATTCCAAGTGGCTTGCACATACGAGATGTGAAATACCATATGTGGAAGATATGCAAGAAAGTGGTAATTAATAAGAAGCATACCTGGGCCTTTAATACGTGAAGCTCATTCTTATGATCCGGCATAGTGAACCCAACCAGTCTTGGGAGTTCTTGAAGCTTCAGTTCCAGTAAATTTGTGAACATGATCACTGAATTCTCGTCATGGATTTCTCTGCAGACAATACATTCAATCACATAGCATTCAGTCACATGCAAGCGTTGAAGCATCCCAACACTTGACCCCTGAAATGGTGAAAAGACATACTTCAACTTGTTGCAGAATTCTACTCTCAAATCACTCAAGCTGCCAAAGCATTGGCAAGTAGAGGTGAAACTCTTGGCATGGCATATCTCTCTTAAATTGTCCAAATTGTGCAGAGACAATGACTGAACCAGTGGGAAGACACAACTTGAAGCATAGACAGTTTCATCTGTTAAATACTTCAGATCATTGCAGAATTCAATGCTGAGATTTTTCAAGTGCGGAAAACCTTCTTCATCCAACTCATAGAGCACGTTTTCTAATTGTTTTACATTCACAAGGTTGAGAATTTCAGATTTCTTAAGCAACTGTTGAATTGCCACATTCTCTTTAATGTCCTTATGGTACACACTGTTTACTTTAAGGATGTTAGGGTATAGATAACCCCGACGAACAAAGCCATGGGAAAGAGTAGTTGGGTCTCTCACATAGATCCAGAACTTAACCAAGTTTTTGAACTCCAAATCTTTAGGAAAAATATGAATTCCTGTTAGTGAAATCTCAAGAACTTTTAGCTGATGAGAAAGAGATTTGAGCTCTGCAAGAATGGAATTCTTTTCCTCCAAATGGAAATTCCTGACTCTAAGATAAAGTTCTTCTAAGTTAGATAAGCTAGCTAGGACCCCAGAAGACATCTGTTCAAGTTCATTGCATTCTGTCAAATCCAACAGTCTTAGAAGGCTTAGTTTGCCTATTTCTGCTGGCAATTCTTTGATATTTGAGTGGGCAAAGCTCAACACTTCCAGTTTCCTTAGCTCCTTACATATTACCGATATGTCTCCAACCTGACAATCTTCCAACCGTAAGGTGCACAGGTTGTTGAGTGATCGGAATGGAGATAACATTAATGGAATGCACAGATTGCTTATGCCTAAAACCATTAGGTTGCTCATGTTATGGAAGAAATTTTCTGAAATGGGCTCTCTTCTCTTTAAAAAAATTTGTAAGAGTCTAAGATTTGGACACTGCAAACTCTTAGGATGCGTCTTAATCTCATCAAACACAAGTGAGATTGCACTATGATGCCATGTGAACTCCTTTGACCCTACCTGTCCAGCATCATATTTCACTGCAAATCCATGCTCTTCTCTGGATCCAATTGTTATGACAGTATCACGAACGACATCATGCATTTTCACACACTCTTCCTCATTGCTGTCCAGCAACAAAAACCGCTTCTTTAGAGTATCAACCAAGGTATGCACTCGATTCCTTGCTTTACACAAAGCACCCAGATCCTTGAACAAACCTAAGCCGACTCCATATCTGAGTAAAACTTCAATGGGAATGTCAAAGTCTTCTGGGAATAAGCAACAAAGCAAAAGGAGAAATTTAGCTTCTTCATTGGCTAGAAAGTTATAGCTTAATTCAATACATGAATATATAGAATATTCTTGCATCTCTGAGAAGGAAGTTAGTGAAGACTTTCTCAGCTGATCAAGTGCATCCTCCCATACATGCTTCTCTTTGTTCCCTAGTGCTTTTGCTATTGTGACAATAGCAATTGGCAAGCCCCTACATTCATTTGCAACCTCTTTTGCTATGTTATGGATCTCAGCTTTGTCCACAACATGACCGCCTACTGTATCTCTGAAGAGATCCCATGCTTCTTCTTTAGAAAGAACGGGGATAGTGAAGTTCCTCTGACTTCTCATCCTATGGCACACATCTTCATTTCTTGATGTGAATAAAACTTTGCAGCCCTTGTGACAATGCCCATTTGAAGGAAGCCCTATCAACTCGAAATCCAGCTCTGTCCATACATCATCCAGCACTACGAGGACCTTATTGATCTTGTTAAGCCTCTCAAGTAGTTGACTTGCCCTTCCTTGCAAAGTTTCCTTATCAAGTTTCAAGCCTAAGGTGTCACCAATTTGACCTTGAATCTTTCTATAGTCAGGAACTTGGGACACGATAGCCATTGAAATTTCATCAAACACCTTATCTGCTTCTAAAATTTTGATAAGCTCTTTCACCAATGTGGTTTTCCCGACACCACCCATACCACAGAGGCTTACCTTGTGGAGCTCATCACCCTTCAATTTCTCTACAACCTCGGTCATAATTGAGTCTCTTGAGGCAAAGCTCTTAATTCCTTCTGTGAAAGTGGATCCTAGTGTTGGCAAAGGTGCGGGGTAGGATATGAACTCAAATTTTTGCTCCTTCAGGGAAACAAGATCTTGCACCATTTTTCCTGCTTTCTTGCTCAGTGAATAACGAAACACCAAATTTGGACACAACCCGTTGAGGCATTTCTTGTTCTTGTTGACTAACTCATCATCGTACACTTTATGTAATTCATTTTCTACAACGTTGTCCACTTGGTAGAGCCAGTGTTCAACATTTGGAGCAACGTGACGTCCATTCCTTCTGTCTGCGTCCACCATTCCTTCAATCGCACCCTTCCTGTCTTTCAAATTGTTGAGTTCATTCTTCATTTTATTGATATTTTTCTCATAGTGAATCAGATGTTTGAATTGCGATGTGACGGGATCCATTAACATCTCCCCAAGTTTTGACACAATTCCTGTCCCGACTGCCACTAGAAACTCCATTTTGCTTTAGCCTGAGCTCACTTATGCTTGTCACCCTGCTCTATTCACTATTAAGCCAAGCCCATCCCCCACCCCAGAAAAAAAAAGCGCAAAATCAATTCTGAGGTTTCAAGCAATTTATTAGGATTTGCTTCACTGTGGATTAAAGTTATTATAGACTAACGGTTACTTTATTCACCAAATTCTCTCTCTATGGAAAAATTGATTTTCTGGTTGTATGCATACCTTTTATTAAAAAAAAAAAATCAAAGGTCATCATGAAAAATATGAGAGACAAAACTTCTAATACATATTTACAAAATCATTTAGAGTTTGTTTGGTTTTATATTTTCAAAATACCTTTTGGTTAAAAAAATGCTTGAAAATATGTTTTCAATTATATGTTATGAAAAACAAAAAAAGTTAAAATTTATTTTTTTTAAAAAAATCCGAATGTTTTTTATGGTTTGTTATTTTTTCTGCAAACTTAGAGAAAAGATATATAATAAAAGGGTTAAGGTACATTCGATACATCCAACACCCTGAAATTTATTTTCAAGTACACTCGTTAAAAAAGTACTCCCTCCGTTCCTTATTATAAGAAACAAATAACCGAAGTACGTTGATCAAAAAAATAGTTAAAATTAGTTAAGAACAATTAATGTGTAAAAAGTATAATTTTTTTCTCAAAAATGCCCTTATTAATAAGGAGAGAGAGCATGAGAGAGAACAATTAAATTATTAAAAGAAAGAAAAGTGGGAGGGAGAGAGAGTGTGAGTTGGAGATAATAAATATGGATAAAATAAGAAATCAACATAAAAAAGTAGAGACAACTTTTAAATGTCTCTTACATATAGGAACATGTCATAAGTATCAAATGTCTCTTATAATAAGGAACGGAGGGAGTATTTAGTATGAGAGATTACAACACATGTAAAATTTTCTTATATGGGACTTATGACATATTGCCTATTTGCTTGTTACTTAAAATTAGATAAATTTATGTAGGTAAGATTGAGGAATACTAATACCATGGAAGGAAGTTGGTATTTCCTAATCCTAACTACGCGGGTTTGTCAAATCCTAAGTAACAAGTAATTTCTCATACTAATCATTTTTTTAATAAATTTTCTCAATCTCAATGTCAATCCTCCTCTTTCATTCTTAATGTTTCATAGCAAATGGGACCGTAAAGTAAACTTTTCTTCATAAGGAGAAACTTGAATTATATGCTTCCGCATCACTCATAAAGAATCTGGCCTTAGCTTCACCCCTATGCTCATCAGCCTTGTTTTCCATAGATTTATTTTCTCAATATCCACCAAATAAATTTTCCCATATCATGCATGAAACCCATATCGCATGATATCCAACAATATAGTGAAACAAAAAACAAAAAACTATATGCTCTTCCGGTCCTTAATATAAAACCTAATTATTAAGTTAATTTTGGTCTTAAATATAACACCTATTTCTCATATTTATCAATTTTTCTTAAATCATCCTATGGATACTCCCTCAATTATAAACAAGTAGAAGAGGGAGAAAGGATATTAAAAAAGATGATTATGGTATTTTAAGAAAAATATGTGATATTTCTTATATTAGAGTGAAATTATTGGCTCCAGCTAAATTTAATCAAATGAACTTGCACGCCAGACCCTAACCCGAAAGATCACACGCATATACATAATATAATAGATATAGCAATCTTGAATTAACGGAAGCGTTCATATATAAAAACTTACCACTTTACGTACTGGAACTGAAGATCTGGGACGGACACAGCAGAAAGAAACGCCTCAAACTGATTCCAACGACGACCTAGGAGAACCAAAAGGCCTGCTAGAAATTAATTGACGATGTTCCTTTAAATTTCAGAAAATGCAAAACAAGCTTGTATATTGAGGGTCAAACAAAGTTGGAAGCTAACATATATTTTTAATGGAGTCATAATTAAATAACATATCTTCTTCCTTCCTCGTTGCTATTCATAGTCAATCTTTTGTCGTATTAGCTGCACTGGCAAAAAAGTACTCTCAGAAATGAATGCATACACACACACACACGTATTGTATCACCTGCTATGCTTCGAAGAAAGTCTGTTTGTAAGGTTCCTTTAATTTTTAATTTAATTCTGAGGATTATTTCGGTATATATTATGTGAGTAGTTATTGACCTAGCTGTAGCTCTTCTCTCTCCTCCAGATCTCGTATGCGTCAATTGTAAGATTCAGGAAGGCTATCGAAGAAACAGTTCATAAATTCTTACATATGTATATTTAGTAAGTAGATATATCATGCATGTTCATGCACAGATCTCTGTGAAGAAACATGTTGGCCTTCCATTAACCACTCAAATATTGCTTTCAGATCCAAAGAAGATAAACCCAAATCAATCTCAGTGCAAGTATGATGGCCACAGACAGATGTTATATATGAATCTACCAAACAATCCTTCTGCTCTTTCTGTCCTTACAAAATTATTGGTTAAAAAAGATAGTCAAACTTCGTGAGAAACAAGCCAGAAGGATACAAGGTAGCTTGCTTACTGGGTCTAGGGAATATATATATATATATATGTTGCAATATAGTATACGGCAAAGAAGGAATAATTAATCAAAGCAATCACCCATTTGAAAGGGCCCCATTGATATTGAAACTTTGATCACCTTTCCTGGCTGGAGTTTGTTGAATAAAAGCGACATGAAGTGTATATCACGAACTGACGAGGAAATTAAGAGAAGAAGAACGAGAAGGAGGAGAGAGGTTTTAGCATATTATATTATATGGTAACCTTGTAAATTTGAAGCCGTAGGGTCCTTAATTAAGTATTTTGATCATTAAACTAAAAAGGAAACAATGTCCGTTGATGGGTATTCGTATAGTTCTGGAATAACTTCATCATTAGACAGTTCATTCAAAAAACTAAAACACGAGGGATAGAGTTATAAAAAGAGAGAAAGAAAGCGAGGTGGAAATAAAGATGAGGTTTAAGGGGAAACCAAAGGGTTTGTTTGGTTCAAAATTTTAATAAACGAAACGCAAAAGGAGACAAGGGATGCAAAAACACGCTACGAAAATCCTTCTTTGAAAGGAAGTGTAAGCAGTTCGGATTTGGTTTGGGTGTTCATCTAAGAGGGTGTTTGGAAGCACCCAAGAGAAGTACTTTTCCGCAAAACGAGACAAACTATTCTATATATTTATCTCGTATACTGTAAAAACACTTTTAAAATCATGGTTTAGTTTCCATCCAAACACCCTGTAAGATGAACTGCTCATATTTTTTAGACGGTCCAAATTTAATATTTTTAATTAATTATTTTTTTAAAAAAATTAAAATATTATCCTTATTTTAGACTCTACACTCATTAAAATAATTGTTTTTAAAAAATAAAAATAAAAAGAAATTAAATCTACTGACAATCAGCAGGAAATTGGATGATCACCCAAATTGGTTCCAATCCTACAGGATTTGTTTTAGTATTTACTTATGGTTATAAATGTCCCTAATCAAAATATATATATTTATGGATGTAAGTTCCATCATTTTTCGTGGAAGCTTGCCATTGAAAGTGAAGCCATGGGACGCAGACGCTACAGAAAGAGCAGTCCAAACTGATCTCAACACATTAACAGCAGTCTACGAGAAACCGAAATGTTACATATATAGAAATTCATTTACCATGTTCTTCGTGTAAAATCAAGAGAAACACACCAACAAAGAGAAAGAGAAATATTGTAAAGGGTGTTACTAATTATATTCTAGATTTTCTGCTCCTCTTTTTACATTGGGTCAATTACATATCTTCTTTTAAGTTCTGATGCTTTTGAATAAACCGTGCTTGTGGGGTTCCTTCTAATGATCAATGCGGAAAAGTTCTTTGGAAAAAGCCAAAAGGTGAGAGGGAGAAAGTTACGTTGTTCTATTGTATTCGGTGAATTATAAAATCTCTTTATTGAAAAGAGATATCTTTATTTACTATTGCCTCTTGTGCTTAATATAACAACTATTTAATTGATTTAGATAGATTAAAAAAATTAATTAAATTAGTTATTTGTAATAAATATGAGTTGATTTTCCCATAATATCTTTTCAATCATAACTACCATTGAATGGAAATTTCTTTTATATGTATAATAAATAGAGATACTTTATAGAGTAAATTATAAATTTGGGAGATAAAGTTAAATGAGATTTTATATTTAAAAAAAATCTAATCTCTAACTAGCTCTTATATTAAGAACCAGAAGAAGTACTACCTCCGGAGTTTGACATTCATTTTGTTCTCAATTATAAGATCTCAATCCACTTTAAACAAATAGTGGAAACATAAAGAACTAATACTCCTTCTAATCCTAAATATAAGAATTAGGTAATTAATTTATAAATATCAAGAAAATTAGTTAAATCAATTATTTGTAAATATATATATGTTATCCCTAAGGTACCATTTTAATATTCTGCATTAGAAACTACTCCATGAAAGGAAAAAAAAAACTTCATTAATATGTGCAATCAATAAAGAAAGTTAAGAGGAAAAAAATTACAAATTCGAACTTCCCAAACTCAGAACAAAAATGGCAGACAGTTTTGGTGAGTTAGATCAAACAAGAGGCTACTATATGGATGTATAAGTAATTCTGACAAAAAAGAAGAGGCACACCCACCCACCCACACACATATTTCTTTCTTACCCGATGGAGCCCAAGTTGTGATCTTTGAAGCTGCGTTGGAAGTTTATCCTCTATCGATCTCCTTCTCTGCCTCGATCTGAAATCAATTCCAGTATGGCTTTCGATCAGATCTCAGAAGGGCGATAAATCCAAATCATATTTATATATAAATCTACCCACTAATCCTCCCTCTCCTCTATTAAAAAAGGAAAAGCGTAAGTCAAACATATATGGTGGGAACTATGAAAGCTGCCTCACTCTTCATAAGAAATAAGCTAAAAACTACGGTTGCTTACGGGGTTGGTAACAAATGAAATACGACTTAGCTAAGTCCTTAATATAGG